ACCATAGCCACATCTCGTCCGCGAAGGGACAGTAGATCCATACGTGCTCTGTAGATTCCCAACCCCATCTGCACCGTGAGCATGTTATGCTCAGTTCCATTCCTCTTCACTGCAACCACAGTGCAGAGGGGGTAATGCCCATGGATTGAGTCCACATCAAACTTGCCTGCCTCTGCGATGGAATTTTCCGCAAAAGTTTCCAAAGTCCCTGGTAGTCCGGTGGGGGGGCGCCGATCCCTTGAATCTTTTGGAATCTTTGCTCAGCTATTATCTGCGGCTTCTTCCTCTGCAGACGGCGCTGAGCTACCCCAATTTTTGTAGTATACCAAATCAGTGGATGCTGGTTCTTTCCCCACTCCTTCCATCCATGTAGTAAGGGTTCTACCAGATAGTCTGCTGGGTCTGCCTTCAATAGTGAAGCTTGTTTCCTTGTACCCTGTTGGCTTTCCCATACTCTTACTTCCCACAAGGTCTTCGTGGAAGGAACCGTAGTCTCCTGTTCCAATACCAGGGGGGACGTATCAGCTCTGAGTCTGTCTACCCTCCACTGTTCTACCTTCATACCCTGATTCAGATTCGGACCAAGGACTTTAAGTACTCTATTGTTGTCCTCTGGGTGTTGTATCCATGAGCCTAAAGCATGCTCAGCATCCTCTTTGAGTAACCCATTCCACTGAGAAGGTAAGGCTGACAGAATAGCCTGATAGTATTCCTCTACTCTGTGGAGTCTGGGGAGTCTCTTTCTCAGATCCTGCGGCTTTAGCCACGTCTGGCTATTCTCATCCCAGATATGACTAACGAGGTAAACTCCTCTCTCTATCCAGGATTTCGCAAATTGGCCGGGTCCACTACCTGTTGCAAATGGCTGACCGGACAATTGACAGATCAATGTATTATCAAACAGACATTGGTTTAGGATTTCTAGCTTGGTATTAGGCTCCTTCAGTCTCTCCGGTTTAATTTTGTTCCAAGCTCTTAGAATTCCTGCCCATACACTCGACTGAATTCTACGTTTGGACAGATTAGTCTGCACAATGCAGACCCACACACTTTTTGCATCTGGTAGGGACCATTCCTTCATTAATATATATTCAGTCAAACTGATCCACTGTTTTTTGCTCAGATCTAAATAATGCCTTTATTAACCATTTTATCAGCAATGCCATATTCTGGTCCCTTGGATCCAAAAGATTCAGTCCCCCTTGAGATCGGGGTAGGCAGATGAGATGCCAAGCCGCCTTGATGATAAAACCTTCGTGGTCTTCAGCGGCGGGTTTCCACAGATACCGAGCTGCAGTTCTTTTGATAGCCGAGTATGTCTTGTCTCCCAACCAGTGGACCGTCAAGGGGAACCAAAGAATTGAGAATGTCGCTGCCGTCAACACCAAAGCATGCCCAAAAAGTGATAGCTTGTGGTTTCTTACCCATCCTTGAACTCTGGCGCCCACCTTCTCTTGTAGAATCCTGTCTTGAGTAGCTGCACAATTAGAGAGAGAAACTTGCACCCCAAGTAGTCTTTCCGAGCTTTCCACAGGGACCTGTCTCAGGCCCCAGTTTACACACAACGTGTAGGGTGCAGGAAGGAGATATACAGATTTATCCCAGTTTATTATAGCCTCTGATAATACACAATACTGATCTAACACTTTCCTTAATTCTATAAAGGAATTTTCGCTGTTTTCACATGCCACAGTCAAGTCGTCCGCAATCGCACCCCCCTTCCAATGTATCATGGGGGGGAGGTCCAATCCTCTGATTCTCGGGTTGTATCGTATGTTATCAAGCAGCACCTCGAGTTGGATAACAAATAGCAGGGGGGCCAGTGGGCAACCCTGCCTCAAGGAACGTGATAAATTAAAATCCTTAGACAGTCGGCCGTTGACTAACACAGCTGAGGGAGCATCTACATACATTGCTTTTACATAGTTCAAGAATTGCGGCCCAAACCCCATTCTGCTTAGTGTGGTAAACACAAACGGCCAGCCCACTTCGTCATAGGCCTCCTCCATATCTAAGAGCAGCACGGCTATTTCTCTTTTCTCTGAGGCTATAACTTCCAGGGCCTGTAGCGTAGACATTATATTATCGAATATTGTCCGGCCTTTTACGAATGCCCCTTGCTCTAGACCAATCAGATTCGGCAGAAAATATGCTAATCTTATTGCCTGTGCTTTAGCAAGTACTTTATATACCACGTTTAATACTGAAATTGGGCGATAATTTCTTACTTCCGACTTACTCCCCTTTTTGTATAGTAGTGAGATATACCCCTTCCGAAAGCTCTCCGGGAGACACCCCGTCGTTCTTATATTATTATAGATCTCACACAGAAAAGGGCCAAAGCCCTCCCAGCATTCTGTGAAAAGTTCAACCGGGAGCCCATCGATTCCGGGACATTTCCCTTTTGCCATTTGTTTGGCTGCTTTTGCCAACTCAATCGTTGTGAATGGACTATCCACGGCTTGAGCCGCCCCAGGAGACGGGCATTCTCTCGAGTAGTCCCAGAAGGTGCTATCCTGTGATAGGTCCGTTTCAGGGGTGTCGTACGGTTGTCTTGTGGTGACAATGTCACTGAAGTTGTCAAATACATGAGCACACATTGTGCTTGGGTCTGTAGCTGTCGAGGTATCTGTCGAGAAAGGATGTGCTAGTTCCCTGATCAGGTTTTTGGACTGACGCAAGATTAACGTTCTAAAAGATAACTTAGAAATTCTATCATAACCTACAATCCCGCGGCGGTTCAGCCACTCTAACCATTCGGTCTGGGCTTGAACTTCCAAAGCATCAATCTCTAATAATGCCGAGCGCCTCTTTTCCGACCAATAATAGTCCGAGAAGGGGTCTTTCCCCATATTTTCCTCAGCTTGTACTATTGTTTGTCTGAGTAGTTTCTCTTTCCAGGACTTATTGGCAGCTTTCATGCGTGAAAAATTCATTAACGCCGCTCGCACTATATTAACTCCCACCTCTGCCCAGTTTAATTTATCTTCAAATAGATCTTGGGCTTGGTTCCAAGCCCTCATTTGATCTAAAACCTAGGCTTTTATTCCTTCATCCCTTAGGAGATTAACGTTAAGCCTAAAGGGAGGTCTGGCTTTTTCTATTACATCTGTGGCCACCACGTCCATCAGGACTGGGTAGTGATCTGATAAGGCAGAACCAGCTTGTACCTCTGCCCAACAGCACCTATCCCAGGGGGCCCCTCTCGCCAGGATAAAATCCAATCTGCTCCTGGGTCCCATTATTTTCTTAGCTGGTCTTGGGCCATACCAGGAATAACCATTCGAGTCTGGATTTAAAGTGCGGTATACATCCTCCAAGGATTGACTATCTATAAATTCATTGAGCATGTCCACGTCCGCCCTTATCGGGTGCTTGGAGAGAGAGTCAAGTCCTGGGATTAAGATAGTATTCCAGTCACCCAAGATCACCAGGTTCTCTGTATCGGCACTGAACCGAGGAAATTCTCCTAAAAAATCAATACGAAGGTGCAATTTCACAGGAACATACACAGGCATAACTGCCCATTCTTCATTATCCAATAGAAATTTCAGCCAAGCAATACGTCCTCCCAGGTCGGCATATGAGTCCAGGGGGGTGATATCTAAATCTTTGTTAATCAAAATAGCCACTCCCCCACAGGAACCTTCCGAAGGTGCCCACACCTGAGGGTCATCCCACCGCGGGATTATTTTCCTAATTTTCCTACTGTTCAGTTTGGTTTCTTGCAAGCCCAGGATTTGAACGTTCGCCGAATGCATCCATCGTCTCAGTCTTGCACGTTTATGTTTCCTATTTGTATCGCCCAAACCACGTATATTCCATGTCGCAATACGCAGTTTAGGCGGTAAGACCATTAGGTCTCATCCCGCCATCATTTTGGATATGGCCGTTATTAGACTGAGGAAAGAGTCCCGCGAGTCCTTTCCCCGTGACCTTCCCTTTCGGAGTGCCCCTTCGTGTCTTCACAGCGAGTAGCCACTTTGAAAGGGTGGACTCTTTCAGAAAATCCTGGACATTTTGGTGTTTGATCCAGTTTACCACTTCCAATCCCGTTCTTCCCCCTGGGAGGTGAAGGGCCAAGATAGCATCTGTATTATCTACCAGAAAGTCCTGCAGCGGGACCCAATGAACTCTCAAGTCACACCATTTCTTGAAGGAATCATTAATCGATTTCAATCCTAAGACTGCTAAGTGCAACAGTACCGCTGGTTCATCCTTCGGCAGCGAAAGATGTCTGTTCATTTTGATTGCTGGGATACGTGCCACGGTTCCCATGTGATTAAGGATATGTATTTTTGTTAATTCAATCACCTCCTCTTCCGAGGGGTTATTGACAATGGGAATTGTCGGCATTTCCAATGCTTCATTTTGCGTAATGCGTGTTAGAACCATAATTCCGTTCGCTGTGTCGGAGCAGATCATGGGTATTAAATATTCTTTAGAGGGACCCCTGTCCTTTGTCTTTTTCGGTAAAGTTCTCATCGGACCAGCCAACGAAAGTTCCTTCCTCAGTGAACTGTATTGGAGCGTGCGTTTACGACCCTTCATTTTTACCTCTGGGGTTACATTCTTTTCGTTGGCCCGAGTCGGGTCCGTAGACGTACCTATCCCAAACGCATCGTTTCGTTTGGCCTATTTAGAGGGGGAGGCTAACCCCTTCCCTGTCTCGATTTGTACATCCACCACTGTACTTCTAAAAAGAGGGGTTCTACCCTTTATTGTGGCCAAATCGAAACAGGGGGGAGCGATCCATTCCTTGCCTCGCCCACTAGCCTCTTCTAACTGGGCCTCCTCCTGGCCTTCTGTTTCTGTCTCAGGCTTGTCCAAAACCTTCACAGATCCAAAAGTAAAATTATTATAAACTTTAAAATTTTTAAAGGCAGCTGGGCTTTTGGTGTTTCGAAAATGGATGGTGTTCCGTCATCACTGACCAAGTGCTCATTTACCTAATTTCTTTCTCTCTCCTCCCCATCCATTTTTGATAACGACTTGCCCACTATGCCCAGGACATCATCTTCCGCCTCCTCCTCGCTATCTAGGACCTCTTCGTTGGCATCTCCATAAAATTCCTCCTCACTTCCTTCCTCTTCTTTCTCACCGCCTTCCACGTTCATATCCTTGGAGTTTTCTGAGTCGTCTGAGTCGTCAGAGTCCTCTGATTCTTCCAAGGAATCCCCTGAGGACTCTGAATCATCCGATATTATTACTCCCTTTGAATTCCCAGAATCGACAACTCCCGTATCTTCGACGAGGATGTCCTTTTTCGTCTTGCTATCATCCCTCAGATTCAAGCCCTCTTCTTCCTCCCTTCCATCCCCGAAAGGGGGGAGGGATGGGGGGGGAGATTTCTTGCTTTCTTTTATTTCTAATACCGGGTTAGCTTTCTCACACAGTTCCGTCTCGAGTTTTTGGGGTAGGGGAGGGGGCGTCCCTTCTCTCTCCACCTCCTTCCTCTCCCCATTCTTCTTCCCTGCCACCTCTTCTGTTTTCCTGGCGTCGTTTTCCTCTTGGCCAGGGTTAGGGTTATCCCCTTCCTTCTCCACCTCTTCTTCCTTATCCCCTTCCTCCGAGACTTCAATCATCTCCGTATCTTTACTGTTCCCCTTTTGTGCCTTCGTCTTTCTCCTTCTCCTTTGTCCTTTCTTTTAGCACTTGACGATACACTTTCTTCTGTTGCGTCTTCTTGACCCTCATCCTTCGTGCTTTCCCCGACCCAGCCTTCCCTTTCCCCTTGGCGGTCCTTGCCCCTTTTCCCTTTCCCCTAGCATCCTGGGGTCCCCCTTCCGGTGCCTTTTCTTTCTCGTTCCCCTTTTCCACTTTCCCTTCCTTATCTTTCTCTTTGTCCTCACCGGTCCCTCCTTCCTTACCCCCTTTTCCCCCTTTGTCCCCCTTGGGGTCGCCGGCTGGATTTCTCCCGGGTCCCTTCCGAGTTGTGTTTTGTCCTTCCTGCCCTTTAAGATTTGAGTTTTTATTCTTAGGACAATTCGGGTCTCCTACATAATGATAGAATTGTCTGCAGGCTGAACACCAAGGAGTGTCAGCTCCAATGACTTCCAGTTCCACGTAGCCCTGTTCGGCCAAGTCCACGCATAACCAAGGCTTGAAACGGAGCCTCGCAGAGGACACTAAGTCAAACCGAATATTTAAAAGCTCAGGAGACCTTGGCTCGACGAATGTCGGATAGGTTTTCAAAAATCTGACCAAACGCATCCTCTATCGCACTCTCTAGCAAAGGCATCGCAGACACCGGAACCTGCATACATCTTATCCAAAAAAACTTAAAGCGCATTGCCTCCCTCCACTCCTGGAGTTGATTGTCATTCATCCAGGGTTGGAAGATGACATTGTAAGATTTCCCATCCAACAGTATTTCGTCCTTACCTTTTCGACGCATGAACGTTGCTACCTGTGCAGAGGCTGAGACATAAGTCACCAGATTTTTGCATTCATTGTGAAACAAGCCTCTCTTTGGCGGATATGGACGCCCAACCGTCCTCATAAATCCTGACAAGTCGTTTTTTAACGTCCACGGGTAGCGAGGTGGATTCATCGCCGAACAAGATTGTCACTGCGTGCTCTTTTAACCAATCCACTTGGATACGGAGCACTTCGGGGTTGATAATTACCCTCACATAATCGTCCCCAACTTCCACCGTGTTTGGTGGAGCATTCGGGGATAAGCGGCGTGGGAGAATTCCGTCAGAGTAGCAATCACTGAGGATTCCCCTTATCCTCTGTTTTTCCGCTTCCGAAAGGGACGAGGAAGTAGGTGGTTGGGGGGGGGGAGGAGGAGGAGCCGAAGACATAGAGGCCCCACTGGCTCCTGCCATGGTGGACCATCTTCCGTAAGTCTCCCTAACCTTCCCTACCTCTAACGACAGAAACCAAAGAAACCAAATCAAAAACAAACTTATTCTAATCGAAATCATACGAGGCAATAATAAACTGGGATTTAAAAGTATAGATTCTCCTTCCGCACATTCACCGGAAAACGCTGTCGAGATATACCTCAATAGTCAGCAATTCCACGCAGGGGTGACTGGATACTCGAGGACCGCATAGTCAGATTACTTCTTGGCTTGGCCTCGGAGCCCCTTCACTTTTCATCTTCGTAACCTTCGGACATTGCCAGGCGGCGCCATCCCTGGTTCCATTGCGAGCGGATCCGTACAGCCGGAGCTCTCCCTAACCCCCGATATCTCACAGAGGTGTACGTCGTAAGCACTAACACGGGAGAGATGGTGGATGAGTCAACCTCGAAATTGACGAATTTTCCATGTTGACGTCACCCTCCAAACAGCGAGCGCTAAACCACCGCGAATTAACGCAGGGTCCATCACTTCCATTTCCATTTCCATTTCCATTTCCATTTTGTGCAAGCCCCGTGTGTGACATGTCCTCTGGCGGTACAACGGAAATGTCCGCCCTAAAAATGCAACCCATGGAAAGTTGCCGCGGGTCCAGGAAAACCACCGAGGAAGTCGGTGTCATCGGATCCGCTTTCTGTAGCCGGGCCCGTAGCTGACGCTGACACTATTGTAGTGCTTTTTCGTCACTACTTGCGTAGTGTAGTGGTGGGATCAGACCCTAAGAGCGCCGATTGTGCATACAACTTGTACGCCACGTTTTTCGCTGGCAAAAGGAACCTTATTTTTCTTTTTTTATATATTTAATTTAATTTGGGCCCCTTGCCGATCCCTTGTTCCACATACGTCTTTCTTCTTTCACGGGGCCAAGTCCCACTCACCAGGATTCTCAAATCCCGACCGTAGATCATGAAATCAACGGCCAGATATGAAAAATCTGGTCAAGTGGGACTCGGCCCCCGGAGCATGGTCCCAGTAGCAACGGGGATTCGATTGAAGATCCTGAATCTGGGCGTGTTTTACAAAGAGATGCAGAAAAGGAGTTGTCCACAAACGCAGCGAGATTCAGGCGTTCAATCCAATCCTCTTTGCTAGTGGGACCTCGCCCCAGAAATTGGACACTATCTGGCCGTCCATCTTCTCATTTTGATGGTTAATCTACGATGGATCTACGTCCGTCGATTTCCGTAGATGAATCAAAATGAGGATTTCTTCTCCGCTGAATAATAATTCTGCGATGTGCTCCAGGGCCGAGGTCCCACTAGCAAAAAGGTGGGACCACGCCCCAGCTCCCATCCAATCGGAAATCGAAGCGGTATAATAATAAAGGGGAAAAAAAGCACAAAACGCAGCCGTTTATTGACTTCTGCATGTCATCCTGAAGCAGGGGCTAAGTCCCATTAGCAGGGGGTCTAAGTCCCATTAGAGAGGGGGCTACCTCACATTAAAGGGGGTATAGACTTCCATTGGAGTACTATTTTTCAACGTGGCTACAGCCCGGCCGTGAGATGTTCAGGGGCCAAGTCCCACTTACCCGGATTTCTCCATTCCGGACCGTAGATCATGAAAATCAACGGCCAGATACGAAGAATCTGGTCAACTGACTCAAGTGGGACCTGGCCTCCGATCGGATGGACGGTAGGAACCGGTGCGTCACTGAAAAAAAAACAAGCCTAAGGCCCCGCTAGAGGGACTTAGGGGGGTTCCCACTAGCCAAGAGGGTTGGATTAGAATTTTTTTTATTTTTTATATATATATATATTTTTTGGGGGGGTTGGATTAGATCTGCCTGAATCCCGATGCGTTTTATGTCGAGAGAAAAAGAAAAACTTTTGGGGGGGTCCCACGAGCGAAGAGGATTGGATGAAATGCCAGAATCTCGATGCGTCTGATGTCCAGAATCAGAAATCTAAAGCAGAGCAATCGCAAGGATCTGAACGTCTCCAC